CTTTAGTCAATGAGTTACATAACATTCTTAAGCACAACTTTAAAGAAGAGTCTTTCAAGCTTGTTTTGTTCATTTAATTCACCATAAATTATGGAATTTTTTGTGGCTCCAGAAATTCCTTAGACAGAATCTTTATTCTAGGAGCCCTTAATATGTTTATGAAATAATTTTTTTACATATTTAAAAACTTGATATTTCAGTTCTGTTTGAAGTTTAGCACAATCTCACGTAGTTCATTGAACAGTAACTTCTTTTTTTTTTTTAGACAGAGTCTTGCTCTGTCACCCAGGCTGAAGTGCAGTGGTGGCATCTCAACTCACTGCAACATCTGCCTCCTGGGTTTAAGCAATTCTCCTGCCTCAGCCTCCTGAGAGCTGGGACTACAGGCATAAATTGTCCTAAATTTGGCAAGTGAGAGCTCCAAGGTTTGGAAGATATTTATAATAATCAAATGTATATATGACAAAACATGATGAGTTTGGGGGACATAAAACTCTAAAATGTAGACCATATAATTATATATACATTATATATTTTATTTCATTTTCTTTTTTCTTTTCTTTTTTGAGATGGGGTCTCGCTCTGTCACACAGGCTGGAGTGCAATGGCAGCATCTCGGCTCACTGCAGCTTCCACCTCCCAGGCTCGAGTGATCCTCCCACTCCCACCTCAACCTCCCAGCTAGCTGGGACTATAGGTACATGCCACCATGCCCAGGTTAATTTTTGCATTTTTAGTAAAGACAGGCTTTCACCATGTTGGCCAGGCTGGTCTCAAACTCTTGACTTCGTGTGATCTGCCTGCCTTGGCCTCCCAAAATGCTGGGATTACAGGTGTGAGTCACCGGCCTGGCCTCTTTTCAAGAGGGTGGTTTTAGCTATGATTTCCCGTAATACCTGCGGGCCAAAAATGTGTTAATCATCAAATGGTACCAAAAAGAAATGGTTTCTACTTTTAAATAACCTATATTTTAAGATGATACCAAAGAGTACCCTTCTAATCAATGGTATGATGAAGTCAACTAAACTGTCAATTTTTTTTTTTTTTTGAGACGGAGTTTCACTCTTTTTACCCAGGCTGGAGTGCAGTGGCACCATCTCGGCTCACCGCAACCTCCGCCTCCTGCGTTCAGGCAATTCTCCTGCCTCAGCCTCCTGAGTAGCTGGGATTACAGGCACGCGCCACAGTGCCCAGCTAATTTTTTGTATTTTTAGTAGAGACGGGGTTTCACCATGTTGACCAGGATGGTCTCGATCTCTTGACCTCATGATCCACCAGCCTCGGCCTCCCAAAGTGCTGGGATTACAGGCTTGAGCCATCATGCCTGGTCCTGTCAAATTTTTTTTTAAGAGGGAGTCTCACTCTGTCCTCTATCATCCAGGCTGTAGATGCAGTGGCTCTATCTCGGCTCACTGCAACCTCCACCTCCTGGGTTCAAGCAATTCTCCTACCTCAGCCTCCCAAGTAGCTGAGATTACAGGCACCCACTACTACACCAAGCTTATTTTTGTATTTTAGCAAAGATGGGGTTCACCATGTTGCCCAGGCTGGTCTCAAACTCGTGACCTCAAGTGATCTGCCATCCTTGGCCTCCCAAAGTTCTGGGATTACAGGCGTGGTCCACCAGCCCCAGCCTAAACTGTCAAGATTTTTTGCAAGACAATTATTAAAAACAGCCATCATTACAAATTAAATTATAGCTGGGCACGGTGGCTGAAAAAATATTTTCTACCACACTCAGCCTGAAAAAATATTTTTAAAAAAGACAAGAAAAACAGCTTGTGCTAGGTTTGACGTGTACCTGTAGTCTCAGTTACTTAAAAAGCTGAGGCAGGAGGATTGCTGGAGCACTGGAGTTCAAGGCTGCAGTGTGTTACAATCTCTCGTGTGAATCGTCACTGCACTACAGCCTGGGCAATATAGTCAGACCCCATCTCAGAAACGAAGGGAGGAAGGAAGAAAAAAAACAACTTGTAGGTAGAATGTTATCCTCTGTGGAAAATTGTGTAAGAACATCTTATAATAATACACAAGGGCAGTACTGGCTTTTCTTCTTCTTCTTCTTCTTTTTTTGATATGGAGTTTCACTTGTCACCCAGGCTGGAATGCAGTGACTGGATCTTGGCTCACTGCAACCTCTGCTTCCCGAGTTCAAGCAATTCTGCCTCAGCCTCCCTAATAGTTGGGACTACAGGCAACCACCACCACGCCCAGCTCGTTTTTGTATTTTTAGTAGAGGTGGGGTTTCACCATGCTGGGCAGGGTGGTCTCAAACTCCTGACCTTAGGTGATCCACCCCCCTCAGCCTCCCAAAGAGCTAGGATTACAGGCGGGAGCCACCATGCCTGGCCAGTACTGGCTTATTAGTGAAGTCAGTGGGCTACAGAATAAGCAAGGAGCAAAAAAGATGCCAAAGAAATGATGAAAGGTAGAAAAATAATCTTAAGGCCAGGCACGGTGGCTCATGCCTGTAATCCCAGCACTGTAGGAAGCCGAGATGGGATGATCACAAAGTCAAGAGATCAAGACCATCCTGGCTAACATGGTGAAACCCCACCTCTACTGATAATACAAAAATTAGCTGGGCATGATGGCACGGGCCTGTAGTCCCAGCTACTTGGGAGGCTGAAGGAGGAAAAACACAGTCACCCAGCTGGTGAGTGGCAATGCAGGAAAAGAGCCCAGGTTTGGCTGACTCCAAAGCCTGTGCCCTTCCAACAATGCCACCATGTTCCTTAGAAGGGCCAGTGAGAGAATAATGGAAAGACAGGAGAAAAGAGAATGAGCCAGAAACAGAGCTATAGCTAGGAAAATAAGGCTGGAAAACATGAGGTCAGGGAGAAAGAGAAGGGAACCCCAACTTTTTATATACTTTTTATTTTTTGAGGTGTCATCTCACTCTGTCACCCAGGCTGGAGTGCAGTGCATAATCTCGGCTCACTGCAACGTCTGACTCCTGGGTTCAAGTAATTCCTGTACCTCAGTCTCCCAAGTATTTAGAACTACAGGTGCGCATCACCAAGCCCAGCTAATTTTTGTATTTTTAGTAGAAACAGAGTTTTACTATGTTGGCCAGGCTGGTCTTGAACTCCTGACCTCAAGTGCCTTGGCCTCCCAAAGTGCTGGGATTACAGGCATGAGCCACCACGCCCAGCCTCCAACTTTTTAAAAGACATGATCAAGGAGAGCTTTGGAATAATCCCACGTTGAACTTCACAGGGATTTTAGCTTAGGGGTAGGAGAACAATACAGAAACTCACGTTGATGACAGAGTCCTTGAATTTGATATGCAGCCGGTAGTTACAGATGGCAATGAGGGCATCGGCTGCCCGGCCCAGGAACTCTACTCCCTCGCCCTGCAGCACTGTGAAGGGGACCAGTCAAGGGGCAGAGAAACCCTCAGTCCAGAAGTGAGTGACCGCCTCATCCTCCTCTACAGCCTCTGCTCTGTGGAATCGCCTCTAGAAAAGCTCTGGAAATGGTGGACCAAGGCAGGAGAGGAGAGTACTCTCCACAGTGAGAGCACCAGGCAACAGCTGAAGAGGAAAGCTGCCTTTCCTTCCCTGGGGCCAACAGCTCCAGGATATACAGACAAACCCTCCTCCTCCTGAGACCACAGAGCAGGAAGCCAGAGCTCCAGTACCAGATCCCCTTGAAGATATTTAGGGGAAGGGAGGATGTTTTTTTAACTGGACAGGAAGCCCCATCTATCCTGGCCCCCAACTCCTCCTTACCTGAAGATTCTCCTCCTCCTTCACTAGTTCCTTGGGGGGGGAACAGATCCTTGGCTTGGATGTACTCCAGGCTGGGGGGCCCTCCTCACCCTGTAGGAAGGCCACAGTTCTAAGTCACCAAGCTCTGCTTAGCCCATGAGGTTCATTCTGCTCCTCTCCCCCACCAAGAAATCCACAGACAACCACACACACACCTCTAAAGGTTCTGGTCACCAGAGGAGGGAAAAGAGACCTGCCTTGGTTGGAGACAGGTAAGCGTGAAATGGAGAGAGTACTCAAGCCTATTAAGCCTAAGGAAAGAGTGAGGCCCCAGGAGGAATTGGGAACCTGCACTCTTCAAAGGACTCTCCTATACAACCAACATTTCAAAAATGGAGGAGAGAAAACTAAGAAAAAGAGACTCTTCCTTAGACCCATGTAAGGGTAAGGCAGGAATGGGGATGGTAAAGTGCTGTCCTGAGGAAAAGGAGCCAGGTGTGGCAGCTGGTTATAGAGAGGAGGGAAATCAGGCCCCTGTAGCCACTGAAGCTTCAACCTGGTGGGTGAGGAAGACAAAGAGGAGTGGGTGGGGGGATTCAGTCCCAGGCCTCTAGAGGGCCTTCACTGATGCTTTCAAAAGGAAGACGTGTTCAGGAGCTGGGCTTATCTTCTTGTTAGGCCCACACTGCTGACAAGCCCCCATTACCTGCCAAGTAACCTACTCTGCCTGCTAATCAGAGGGGAATTCCTGAGGAATACCCACGGCAAGAAGAAGGAACTCCTCGCCCAACCACCAGGGAGGGGACCCGAGGGGATCCACGGGCCTGGGAGGAGCCAGGAGACCCAAGGACAGCCAGGGGAGAGAAAGAGAGAGGAGGCCTGGCAGACACCCACGGGGAAGGCGGGGACAGCTGAGAGGACAGATGGGGGAAGCTGGGAAGGAGCATCAGCCAGCGCGGGAGGAGGGGAGGACCGGGAATGATGCAGAGGTAAGGAACCCTGCAGAGGCAGGGAAGATGGAGAAGAGAGGCTGTCTAGGGGACAGTCAAGGAGAAAAGGCTGGCATGTCAGGTGAGGGATGGAGTGGTGGAAGAGAGAAGGGACTGAAGCCCCAAGTCAGCTTACAGAACATCTCGGGCTCCCTGGCCAGCCCCGTCAACATCCCTTGCAGCCTACTGGCCACATCCCACATCCCCAAGCAAGGATACAGTGGGTGGGACCAAGATGGAGAGGCGAAGGTAAAGGGATGTACCCCCGCAGGGCGGGGCCTGGAGATCTGCAGTCAAGGGCAGTGGCTGCGGGGCCGGGACGGACCACAGAATTTCCATTCCTAGCCTTCGAGCATCCCCGGCACCCAAAGATTGAAGTAAGTCCAAGAAATAAGAGTTAACCCACCTTCCCTGCCCCTAAACGTTCGGGGTCGGGCCAGAGGCCATGGGAAGGGGGATGGGCTGAAATCGAGGGCTGACCCTGGGGTAGGCTGTGGGCACAAGCAAGCGTCGGTCTCCTAGGCACCCAAAGGCAGGGTGAGCACTTACGAAGCAGCTAAGCATGGAGTAGGAGACGCGGGCGGTCAGGCTCATGGTCACAGGCGGTCTGGGCCAGCGCACACGACCCTGGAGCCGCTGCACTGCCAGCCAGCCCCGGGCGCCCGCCGCATCCCGGCTGCGGGGACGGCCAGGTGCAGCTGCGGCGGCCGGGAGGTGAGGGCGCTGGTGGCGGAACCTCAGCACGGCTCCCGCACGCCTCTCCCCTCCTTTTCACAATGGAGCGGGCCCAGCTCCGCCCTCCAGCACGAGCGCGGAAGGGAGGGAAGCTGGGCGAGGGGAGAGCCCGGGACGCGGCGGGAAGGGGAGGCAGGGGCGGGGCAGCTCCGCGAGCCCCACCCACAGCCCCAGGCTCCTCCCTCCCCGCGGACCCTGGGCCTTGTCCGAGGGCGTACCCTACTCCAGGGACCTTTAGGGGCTTTCAGGAGTCTGGGCTATGGGACCGCCCAGACAGACGGCCTGGAGCAGAAAACAAGACTGCCTACATCTTCTCATTTACCTTTTTTCCAGGTGGGCCACACTATTCCCTCTTAGAAACCCATCCCCATGCCCTCCCCTCCTCTCTTAAGTTCCCCCGACACCTGCTCTGGATCCCAAGGTGGAGCTCACCAACCCACAGCCCATTTGCTTTCTCCTTTCACTCCAAAACCACTACCCACCATGCCCCGGCCCATCAGGGTCTTTCAATCCTGTGACTTGGCTAAACCCTTCTTTCCCCTTAGAATGGTGCCAGGTTAGTCATTCCACGCTCCTGGAAAGGGAAATGAGCTTTCATTCCAATACCCCTACCAAACCCAACTCCTTCAGCTCCATCTCTCCCTTATTTCACATTCTGATCTCTGCGCAAGAAAGTCCTTCTTCAAGGAGAAAGGATTTCTTAGCCTGGGAAAGAGAAGAGCTGGAAGTATAGACCACAGAAGTTATACAAAAACGAAACTTGAAACTCAGGAGCAGCGGAGTAGAGAGAGTTGGGTACAGGGCCAAGGAATAAGGAGCAGGAAGAAGGGGCTCAAAAGCACCAAGAGTCACAGAGGGAGCTCGCTGGAACCCCAAACTTCCTGCACCTGGTAACTTTCAGACACCAGGGCTTTTGTCTTGTCTGGGGGAAAAGGGAAGAATAAAAGAAAGCCTGACATTTTACTAAGCATCTACAATGAGCCAGGCAGTTTCTACCTATCTCACTAAAACTTTTCAACCCCTGAAGAAGGAAACCTTATCCTGTCTTACTGGTGAGACTTAAGAGAGAAAGTATGCAATTTACCTAAGTGGTGTGCTAGGATTTGAAATTAGATGAAGCTGACTCTGAAGCCAATGCTCTTTTCACGGTATCCCAGAAGAGAAAAGAAGAGCAATCTGTTGGTGGGAGCCCAAACCAGCAGGCTTTCTGAGAAGAGACCGAACCAATAATGCACACACCAAATCTAGGAGAAGTGGGGCAGCTTCACAGAGAAAGACACAGGGATTACAGAAAACACAATGGCCTGAGGAAAGAACGAGTACTCACCATTCTACCGTGGCAAGGGTCCTGGCTGCCTGCTTCTCACTGTAAGAAGACAGAGGAACATAAAAGTAAAGAGTCCCATCAACATCACCATGGAATCAACAAATGCTACCCATCTACCTCTGACCTTCTCTACAACATATTCTTCTCCCTCGCAGAGACCCTAGTCTCTCCACAAGTCACCATACCAGAGAGAGGCAACGGGAGCTACATAGGGAGAAAGCAACAAGTGATCCTGCAGGGCATAAAGTCAGCCACGAGGTTCTGGAGCAGGAATGAGTGTCATCCAAGATTATTCACCAGAACTCAGGAGTCCTGATTCCCAGATGCAGAGGGAGAACACTTCTTTGTGGGGCAGTAGAACTGCCAACTCTGAAGAGACAAAGGCTGCCCAACTGGGGCTCATTTTGGGCCCTGAATCTTTGGGCAAAGTGGCAGTGGCTGAAGGGACATGAATCCACAGGAATGTTTTGCCAGTCTCTGAGTCTCGGAGTAGTACCTACCTGACCTGTTTACTGGGGGCAGAGTCCAAAGTGGGACAAGCGCGGGGGTGTAGGGGGGAGACCACAACCTGTGATCAGAGGGCAGCAGGGCTGCACAGGCACAGGTCCTGCTGAGTGTACTTGACACCAAATTGGGTGGAGGTTATGGAGAGGAGCCCACACAACAGGAATAGAATCAGGCCAATTCAGGCCTTGGAGTCAGCATCTGTCCAATGAGCCCAAGTAACAGGGATTTCAGGATGGGGCCTCCTAGGCTTACTTAGGAAGCCAGGCCCAGGTTTCACTGACACTTTCCTTCATGCCTGCTATCCTCAGGGGCAGTACAGCAGAGCCCTATGGGAGACTGCGGGGATAAAAGCCTCCATCTGTGGTCCTGCCCACCTCCCTGTTCGCAGTACCCTCTTCCCTAGACCACTCTCCCTCATGGGGGAACCCGCAAGAGGCAAGCCAGAGGTGCTGCCTCACCGCCCACTGGCACGCAGCCCCAGGGAAAGAAGGGAGGGTAGGAAGGACAAGGATCAGGCCTGAGAGGCCCAGGGTTTTTAGGCCTAGGAGATCTGGTCTGGGGGGGGGCGGGCCAGGTTGGCAAGGGAACTCAGGTGCCCAGGTTCTAGGGGCGGAGCCTAAAGACTCGGAGGCGGAGCCCCAAATGACAGAAGGCGGGACTCAGGAAAACCTGTGGGGGCCAGGGCGGAGCCGGGAAAGACGTGGTCGCTGCGGTTCCCAAGCTCGCAGTGCAAGGGGCACGGTGACTCACCCAAGCGGCGTCCGCCCGACCCTCCGAGGCCGCGCTCTAGCCACTTCCGTCTCCGTAGCTGCTGAGGCCGCGCTGTCCCGACCCCACCACGGTGTTCTTCTCCTCAACCAATTATATCTCTAGCCTGTGCCTGCCCTGGCCAATAGCCTCGCCAAGTCCCGCCCTGCCCCCATCACACAGCCACCGCCCTCACTCTCGACGTCACTCATTGGTCGAGACGGGCAGACGCCCTCCCAGCCTTTAGCCAATCGGATGCCGGAAGACAAGACTATGCCTGGAGGGAGGAGGTGCGGCGCCGGAGAGGAGACGCGACCAAGGGGAAATCACAGCGCGTCCTTGCGGTAGCCAATAGGAGAGCAGTAAAGAGGGGGCTGCCGGCTACAGCTCTGGGGACCGGAAGTGGGGGCGGCTAGTCGCCTACTGGTAGCGCAATTAGAGGCGGGCAGTGTAGGGTACAAGCCTTAAGCCACTTCCGGCGATGGACCCGCCCTGGAGGTCCTTCTCAAAGAGATCCCCAGTGGCACCTCAGTTTATCCATTCCCGTTTTGGTTTCGCTGCTGTCATCCGGTCCCAATGCCAGAATAGGAGGCTAGGAGAGAAGTGAGGGCTAGGCCTGAGGTTCCATCTTGATCAACTCCGACTGGCTGGGATTTCCCCCTTCCTGTGTCTGGTTGGGTTCCTCCAACACTCACTTTGTATCGATAAACGACCCTGCCGTTCTTCACAACCTGCGTTGTGCTGCTAGTCCTGAGTGAAGAACTCTCATCCGAGAGATGGAAAATCTGGATCTGAGACTGCCAGTAACTAGCTGCGGCCTCCTAGTCTGTAAAGGGAAGGGAGACCAGGACGCTCCCAAGGACCCGACTTATCGCCCCTCCCTTTCTTTCTTTGCCGGGGACCCAGAACAGACCACAAGACGGAGGGTGGCCGCTGGAGGTCGCCGTGGACCCGCGATACCACCAACCGACAGAATTGGAAAACAGTTGATTCAGATTCTCAGCTAATATTCTCAGGTCTGGAGTGGGCCTGAGCGCTTTAATACGAAGCCCCGGGGCCAATGGGTCCTCACCTTTCTTTGTTTATAGAACACTGAAACTTCCAGGAAGAGAACTCTGCAGTACTTTAACTCCAGGGCCCAGAACGGTCTGCAATCTAGCAGATGCTGTAAAATTTTTAATTAAATACTGAACTCCTGTAGGACAATGATTGTGTTTTTATTCATTCCTAGCACTTACTATAGTGTTTGGTGATTACAGTGGCTGCATTTGTTTAAAGTTCTTTCACAGGTTTTTTACAGTGTAGAGCTTAACCTGCCTATTCCTTTTCCCAGATCAGGAGAAACAGAAAGTCAGGAAGTTGCACACAGTTAATACCTTGCGTTTTCCCAAGGGCGGGTATGAAATCCAAAACTGCTGCAGAATTAAAGGTATGTACGTGGGAAAGATGGAGAGAGACCCAAACCCCAGATAATAAAGGCAGGATAGATGTGGTCATTAAGATGGAGAAGCCAGACTGGATTCTAAGCAGGGACTAAGAAGGGGAAACAAAGTGAAAAGTTTTCCCCACTCTCCCTTCCCTACTAAAAGCCAGAAGCCAGCATCTACCATAAACCTTTCAAAACTGGGTCCCAGGATCTTGGTCTCCAGGAGGTCAGAAAGATACACACAGGGACACCAGAAACCACCTACAGATTTATTAAACTTTATTTCCTCTGAGTCTCTGGGCAGTCAGCAGGATGTAAGGCGAAGTGGCAATAGCTGAAGGGGCCTGAGCACAGCTGGTGCTGGGAGGGGCCGACATGGACAGGAAGAGGAAGAGATTTAAATACCCAGGGCTGAAAGCCAGTTAATGGGTCTCCTTCATGTGTTTTTGTATTTTGTGTAGCATCTCCTGTAGCCGCCGGAGCTGGAATAGATATAGGCATAAAAATGGGCCTTTTTGGAGAGTCCTTTAGTATTGGGGAAGTGCTCCAAATTTCTAATCCCTTAAGCCAGGACCTTGGTAGCCCTGAGGTATGATGGAGACTCTGGACAGAATCACCTATTGACCTATCCAGGACCCAAACAGGCAGCAGAGCCAGGGATCTTTCTATTACCAAACCAAGAGATATCAATGTTGATGATCAAACAGGGGACCTCCCCTATATCCCATACTGCTCTCACCTCCTTATTTTTCTCTCGCATAAGCTTCTCAGTTTCTGGATCTGCCCATGGTGGGACAGCAGGGATGGGGAAGTCGGTACCACTCTCTCGAGTCAGTTTGCTAAGAGGAGAGAAGGGTTGGTGAGGCTAGGAGGACCCCAGTACCCACTTAGATTGGGCCTATAGAAGAACAAAAGAAAGGTTTGGTCTCACCCAAGGCTAGGCTTGGGATCCCCCCTGCCACCTTTGTCCTGGCTTCTGGTCATACTTGCGATTCCGTTCCTTCACCACCAGGCGGGTCATGCTCTGGATGCACTGTGCCCGGTAGTTCTCATAATGTGTCTCCCGCGTCACATCCTTCAGGTCCTGCATGTGGCTACGCACCAGCATTGTCCTCAGCTTCACAAAGTCGCAGTGCCCTGGGTTTTCCACTGCATAGCAAGGCTAGGGGTCAGCCAGAGGCATAGGTAGGATAGAGCCACTGAGGGGCAAGGGGATACCCTGGTCACAGGCTCAGTGCTTTACCTTCCACGATGCCCCAGGGGTAGAGTCGGCACCGAACTCGCCGCCCTCTGGCCTCTACTACAGTGTTGCTGCCAATGACTGCAAATGGGATGCTTTCCTGGAAGAGGTTAGGGGTGCCTGTCAACACCCTCTGTTCTCACCTGTTTCTTTCCACCTGTATCGTCATCTTCTCTGCTTCACTCTGGGAAGCCAGGGTCCTTTCCCACCCTGATAGCCTGAATATAGAATTCTACTCCCTTTTTCCACCCAGAAGAAACAAGATGGGAAGGGGATGCCCTAGAGTGGTCTCACCTTCAGGGCTTGATCCTGCAATTTGAAGTCCTCATCCTCATCAGAGTCACAGTCTGGGAATTGATAGATCTTGATTCCAAAGCGCTCAATCTCCTCCCGGATCTGGCAAACAGATGAAGGGCCCACAGTTCTGGGGACCACATCCTTTCTAGAAGCCCACCTGATCCCCTCCCATCACCAGCTTCCCTCACTTTGCGTTTCTTGCAGTCCACTTCAGGAGGTGTCAGTGTGTCCGCCTTAGCCAGGATAGGCACGATGTTGACCCGCTGATGCAGGGCCTTCATGAATTCAACATCCAATGGCCGGAGCCTGGAGAACAGGAATCTGTGACCACCTGCTAGTGGCAGCCCTGCCCCTGGGCTCTTGGCCTGTTCCCTTGACAGCACCCAGTGGTGCCAGGAGCCTCAGGCTTGGACCATACCCGTGGCCGAAGGGTGAGATGAAGTACAGGCAGCAGTGCACCCTGTTGTCTTGGATGTTCTTTCGGTTCAAGCCACTCTCATCTCGGAAATACTGCTCAAACTGCTGATCAATGTATTCTGCCACAGGCTTCCAGCTGGGGCAGGGACAGACAAGCAGAGAAACTGTGAGCGTGGGCGCCACCTAGTGAGCTTTGGGACTACAGAGAAGTAGCCCCTCCCTGAGCAGTGTTTTCAAGACGTTGTTATTCCCTGGCTTGCTTCACCAAATCTTCAGGGAAATTCCTGAATGGGATGGTGTATATCTCGTCTTGATACAAAAGCCTGAGTACTCAGGCAGAGTTTAATAACTACTAGTTTGATGACAGGAAAAGGGCCCAGGTGATCAAACAAAAGAGTAAGAATAGGCTGGGTGTGGTGGCTCACGCCTGTAATCTCAGCACTTTGGGAGGCAGAGGAGGGTGGATCACTTGAGGTCAGGAGTTTGAGACCAGACTGACCAACATGATGAAACCCTGTCTCCACTAAAAATACAAAAATTAGCTGGGTGTGGGTGGTGTGCACCTATAGTCCCAGCTACTTGGGAGTCTGAGGCAGGAGAATCACTTGAATCCAGTAGGTGGAGGTTGCAGTGAGCCAAGATCATGCCACTCCAGCCTGGGCAATGGAGTCAGACTGTCTCAAAAAAAAAAAAAAAAAAAAAAGCAAGGTAGGGCTGCAGGCAAACACCAACTGGAAGCCAGGGAAACCCTAAGTCAGGTTTCCAGTCTAACCTCAGAGCCTTTTTGCTCATGTGTTTCTACCCTCTCCTCTACCTCTCCAAACACATGCTATCCTTCAAAGCCATAAGAACCATCTCTTCCATCTCTTCTACTTCTCTCCTTCTCTTCACTACAGAGCAAAACAAATAAATAAATTAATAAATTTCCCCAAGAACCTCAATTTCATATCCTTTGCGCTTCTATTATCTTGTTTAATCCTCACTGCCCTCACAGGTGGACATTAGGCATTATGATCACCATCACTCTCATTTCATACATGCAGAAACTAAACCCAGAGCAGCTAACAGACTTGTTCCAGGCCCGACGTGGTAGTTCCCGCCTGTAATTCTAGCACTTTGGGAGGCTGAGGTAGGCGGATCACTTGAGCCCAGGAGTTCAACAACAGACTGGGCAATATAGCTACACCCCCATCTACAAAAAACTACAAAAAAATTAGCTGGCATACACCTGTAGTCCCAGCTACTTAGGAGGTTGAGGTGGGAGGATAACCTGAGTCCAGGGAGCCTGGGGAGGTGGTTGATCAGGCCACTGCACTCCAGCCTGGGCAATAGAGTGAGAACCTGTCTCAAAGAAAAAAAAATGGCAGGGAGAGGACTTGCTCTAGGTCATTTAGCTAGTAAATTCACTACCCATCTGAGCCTCTACAGCTCAGTGCATTTGCCACTACACATTGCCTGACCCATTTACTAATTTAAGTCGCTATCTGATTGAAACATTGTTAGAGAACTACCCCCACCTCCCCTGCTTCCCTGTTGCCACTTGACTATAAGCCTCTCAGGGATAGGAATCATTCATGCTTGTTCTAAATCCCGTAAAATGTCCAGCACAGGCTGGACATCTAGTATGTACTCAATACATTCTAGCTGATTTGATGCTTTGCTGTTGCCAAAATTCTGAAATTCTTAAACATTTTGAACGAAGGGCCCTACATTTTCATTTGCACTGGGCCCAACAAATTATGTTTCTGGTCCTGCAATTAGCATTGTTAAAATTCACCAGTATGCTATAAATAGCCCTTTGCACTCTTTTTTTTTTTTTTTTTTTTTTCTATAACCAGCTATACTCTCTTTATTTTAAAAAAATTATTATTATTTTTTTTTTTAAAGAGAAAAAGAAGGGGAAAAAAAGAAAAAGAGGGAAAAAGGAATATTACTTCATTCCTAAAATGGGTTTCAATAATGGCCGATCAATATTTTGAGTGTTTAAAGTGGTTAATGCATATTTTATGTGTTTAAAATGGGGACCTCTATTGTGTTTATTTGTTCTGGCTCTGAGTTCAAGTCCTGGATATCGTTATCAATTTGTTGTCGCATTGAATCTAAATCTCATTATGTGTCTTATGTATCTGGGTGTTAAGATCTCTTATTATTACATTAATCCTTTTACCCTTGCATCCTTGTAGCTTTGAAATCTATTTTATTAAGTGTGAGAATTGCAACTCCTGCTTTTTATTTATTTATTTTTGCTCTCCATTTGGTTGGTGAGTTTTTTTCCATCCCCTTATTTTGAGTCTTTGTATATCTTCAGATATATCGTTAGATTTTGTGGATAATATATATTTTGTGTGTTTAACATGGAGAGCTCTATTGAGTTTATTTGTTCTGGATCTTAGTTCCAGTCCCGGGTATTGTTATCAATTTGTTGTCTCATTGAATCTAAATCTCATTATGGGTCTTATGTATCTGGGTGTTAAGATCTCTTATTATTACATTAATCCTTTTACCCTTGTATCCTTGTAGCTTTGAAATCTATTTTGTCAAATGTGAAAATTGCAACTCCTGCTTCTTATTTATTTATTTTTGCTCTCCATTTGGTTGGTACGTTTTTGTTTTTTTTTTTTTCCAACCCTTTATTTTCAGTCTATGTATATCTTTGGATATACCGTTAGATTTTGTCTGTATCTTTTGATTGGGAGATTTGGTCGATTTAAATTTAGGGTTGCTGCCATTTGTTGTTAACTGACTATTTTGTCCTTTCGTTGATAAAAATTCTTCTTTATGTTAATGCTCTTTACTTTTTGATGTATTTTTAGAAAGGGTCATACTGGTTGTTCGTTTCTGTGTATAATGCTTCTTTTAGAAGTTCTTGTAAAGCAGGCCTGGTGGCAATAAAATCTCTGAGTACTTGCTTGTTCCTAAAAGATTTTATTTTTCCTTCAAATGTAAAGCTTAAATTGGCAGGATATGAAATTCTGGGCTGAAAGTTCTGTTGATTAAGTATATTGAATATTGGCCCCCACTCTCTTCTAGCTTGTAGGGTTTCCGTTGAGAGATCTGCTGTAAGCCTAATAGGCTTACCTTTATGGGTGACTTGATCTTTCTCTCTGGCTGCCCTTAATATTTTCTCCTTCGTTTCGATCTTGGTGAATCTAATGATTATGTGCCTTGGGGTTGGTCTTCTTGAGGAATATCTTTGTGGTGTTCTCTGTATTGCCTGGGGTTGAATAGTGTCCTGCTTTGCTAAATTAGGAAAATTTTCCTGGATAATGTCCTGGAGAGTATTTTCCAGCTTGACTTCATTCTCTCCCTCACATTCAGGTACACCAATCAAGCGTATATTAGGTCTTTTCACATAGTCCCATATTGCTTGGAGACTTTGCTCATTCCTTTTTATCCTTTTTTCTCTATTCTTGTCTTGTCGTTTTGTTTCATTAAGTTGGTCTTCTACCTCTGATACCCTTTCTTCTGCTTGATCCATTCGGCTGTTTAAGCTTGTACATATTTCACTGAGTTCTCGTGTTGTATTTTTCAACTCCATAAGTTCATTTGTATTCCTCTCTATATTGTCTATTCTTTTCAACATTTCATCTAATCTTTTTTCCAAGTTCTTAGTTTCTTTACATTGGGTTAGAACAAGTTCCTTTAACTCCCAGAAGTTTCTTATCATCCACCTTTTAAAGCCTACTTCAGATAATGGAACACAGTCCTTTTCCATCAGGGCTTGTTCCATTACTGATGAGTCCTCTTCCATCAGGGCTTGTTCGGTTGCTGATGAGTCCTTTTCCATCCGGGCTTGTTCCGTTGCTGATGGGTTCTGATTTTGAGTATACTCGGCCTTCTTAGGCTGTTTTTTTCCCTTCATTGTAGATGAACCGCCTTTCTAATTAGTTTTCTGAGTCGACGTCCGACTTATTGATTCCCAGTGCTGGGATCCGAGCAACCCACTGTGGCAGCCTAAATAGCAGCGATAAGACTGATGGTGCTCTTCTGCCCGGGAATCTCTGGTCTGGCTTCCCTCTTGAGTCCGCAACAAGCGGCTCTGACTTCCTGGAGCTCCAAACTCCGGTCAGTAGGGGAAGCAGTCCCGTTGGCTCTGCGTGAAGAGCTGCTGCGCCGAGACGCCGGCAAAACCGCTGCGGCAGCCACAAGAGTCGCGCTGGCGACCCGTGAGGCTCCTCCACTGGGAATCGGCTAATCGGTGAGTGACGAAAATTCGTCTAATGGTGTGGCATCGTCTCGTTCTCTGAGCTTTCACTGGGAGCTACAATCCTGAGCTGTTAGTGGTCGGCCATCTGCCCTTTGCACTCTTGAGTGTGCATGCATCATGCTGGGTGATGTTCAGATCAATTGGAGAGGTAGTTAAGGGCTGGTATGTTTTAATTAAATAAATGTCTGACAAAATGAGTACATATGGAGGTGCACTTTAAACTGTGAGGTGCCTGGAAAATGAAGTTATTAGTATTATGGAAGGTAAGAGACAGTAGATAAACTGATTTAAGAAGATCATTTGCTGAAGATCATGAAGTTACTAAATGCCAATCAAGATCTGAACTCTCTGTCTAGGGCTCTTAGCACCACCTGCCTAACTTCTTCATCAAAGGTATCACCTTTTCTCCTGTCAATCTCATCAGTTCCCCTCTTCATCTACTCACTTAGGTCAGACCATTAGCTAAGCATCCCTCTAGCACCTGAAAAATAAAAAAGCCCAAATGATAGGAGGTTGTGGTAAAGCCAGCTTTTCTTTCACCAGGTAGCCTAGAAAGTACCTGGAGTTTAAACACAGTTCCACCATTTTTCCCTTTTGCCTATTCTTCCTCACCTTTACCCTCCCTCCATTCATGACCAGCCCTTCAACATTTAGGTACCCTTGTTTGTGGCACCTAGACTGTTGCTAGTGAAAGGAAAAAGTGTGAGTTTATTTATTGAGCATCTACTATGTAATCAAACTCTGTCCTACATGTTTTCACACTTCACATGTGTTTGCTTTTTGAGGCTCTTCTTTCTTATCTGTTTTTTTTTTTCCTTCTTTTTTGGTCTCACTCTGTCTTCCAGGCTAGAGTGCAGTGGTGTGATCACGGCTCACTACAGCCTCGATCTCCTGAGCTCAGTGATTCTCCTGCCTCAGCCTCCCCAGTAAATGAGACTACAGGCCCATGCCACCATGCCCAGCTAATTTTTTAAACTTTTGTAGAAATGGCATCTCACTATGTTGCCCAGGCTGGTCTTGAACTCCTGGCCTCAAATGATCCTCCTGCCTCAGCCTCTTCTTTCTTATGTCTGTACCCCATTAAAGAGTCATAGGGCAGAACTGGAACATTAGCAGAACATTAGAAGTCACCTATTCCAATCCTTTTCCTCTTACTTTATAAAGGAGGGGGTGGCTGTCAAGTAAGGGAAGTTACATGGTCAAGGTCATATAACTCCTGATAAGTATGACTCTATCTGGGCCTATATGTATATCTGTGTGTGTATGGAGAAGGGTGGCTCAGGGGCAGCTGGAATTGTGCTTAGTCAGACATACCACTCTGTATTGTTGACTGCATCCCCAAAACCTGGTGTGTCCACAATGGTGAGCCGCAGCCTTACACCTTTCTCTTCTATGTCCACTGCATGCTTAGTGATCTCCACGGTTTGCATGATCCGCTCTGGAGAAGGGGGAAACTGAGGCCAGGGGAAGGGCAGGGACCCCCAGTCGAAATGAACCGCCCACCCCAAACAGCTTCGTTGCCCATACTGCTTCATCCACATTGCCCTCTCCACCCCCAAGCTGCCTGGGGGACTGTTCCCTGGGAACCAGCAAGAAGTATATTTCCCAACACAGGAAATGCCAGTGGCTGTTGGCTCTGGCCCCAGCCTCTTCTCTGATCCGTTTTCTTTTTCTTGGATTCCTGGAATCCTTGGGGGTCAGAGACTCATTCAGAGTGCAAGACTCTGGTCCCTGCCCTGCTTCAGCACCCAAATCTTTAGGGAGCTGGCTGGTGAGCTGCCAGGCAGATAGGCCTATGGAGAGCTGCTGTCAGTCTCTCTAGGAAGCCTTTGTTTCCAGCATGTGGGGGAGAGTCCCATCCCCCAGACTCTGGAGTGAGTTTAATTTCCCAAGACAAGTCTGCCTGATTGTCCTCTCCTTTCCTTACCTTCAGCACCAAGGAGTTTCCGGTCCCGGTACAGATCAGTGAGGAAGAGGCTATTGACAAGTGTAGATTTGCCCAGGCCAGACTCTCCTGAGAGGAGAGAGGACACAGGCACCAAATCAGAAGGTAAGATCTATAGCCAAAAAGCAACTCCACTGGATTAAGGTTTAGAGGAAACTGCTTTCTTATCTAATTGGAACTAGACTAACTATAGTATTTTAGAGCTTGAAGGAAGCACAGAGATTGGCTTGGGAGAGCAAGAGATTGCTCAAGGTCACACAAAAGAGGCAAATACTAGAAAACGGTTGGTCAAATGTTCTTTGCAACCAATTTGTACCCCCACTCCACCCCAACCCCATATACATACACTCTCAGAGGCCAATAACTCCTGGCTATTTGGCAAAGAGGCACAGCCGCTCACTGCTTGCTCCTTTCAACCTCTACTCCCTTCCCACTCATGGACACACACACCATCCCCACCTGAAACACACCCTGCCCAACCCAGCCCTGCCCCTTTTCTACCTGCCACCATGATAGTAAAATCAAAACCTTTCTTCATGGACTTTCGGGGGACTTGGTTGGGGAGGGTTGCAAAGCCCACATACTCCTTGTCATCCTAGCAGACAGGAAGGCAGAATGCGTCAGGACAAGGAGCTGAAGGGGCCCTGGCACCCAGCACTGATCTTCTCTCCCTTTCAGGTCTTTGCCCCAGCCTTTAAGAAGCAGTGCCAGACTCCTGTGGGTTCCTATTTCAGGCCACCAACTGGGCCTCCTGCCATTGCTAAACTGTTAGTTTCCAGTGCCCTTGGGGGCAGATATCACAGAGCTAGGGCTGAAAAAGGACTGAAAGAGGTCCCAGACACACACACACACACACACACACACACACACACACACCACCCCGGTCTTCCTGCAGCAGCCCACTGAAAGGCAAAGGTAGGGTTGGGGGCTCTACCTCAGAAGAATCACAGGGATCAAGCTTGTCCCATGGGCTGCGGGGCCTAGCAGATGGGCTGAGAGGGGCTGGGGCACAGAAGTACTGCTGGCTGTCAGAGGACTGGGGCCACGAAGGGGGTCTGAACTCCAGGTCATCATCATAGAGGTCTGGGGCCTGGGGCCTGGATGCCCAGGTCTTAGCCTCTGGTGGGTGGCAGCTCTCACTTCCTGAGAAATCCTTCACGAACTTGCTCAGTTCTCCATCATCTGTGGTGTCCTCCAGGAAACGCTTGATCTGGGGGAAGTGGGGTGGGTGGAGTAGGTAGGAGGTGATGGGAAGGGAAGAATGAGGAAGGAGACGGAAGACAGGAGAAGGCAAGAGGGAAAGGGAAAGCACTTGTGGTTAGAAGAGAAAGAAACTGCAGCCCAGCCAGAGGAAGTGCTCACCATCCCTCCCTCACCTGCTCGCAAGCCTCCCCCATCCAAGATGCCAGGAAGGGCCCCAGGGTCCAAGAAGAGCCCTGGACACCCCCAAATCTCTGGCAACTGCTCTTGAGAACTGAGGAACTCCAGTTCTGGTCTCCCTCTCAGCAGCATGTTTTTTGAGGCTGCCTTTCCTGGGGTTCTGGCCTAGACAGGGACTGTCTCAGGCCAGGAAGTAAGGCCAGAGTGAATACGATAGAGCAGACAAAGGCATTAGACCCAAAAGGAGAGTACAGAGCCTCAGAATGGGGCAGGGGATGAGGGAAGGAGGTAGGAGAGAAGAGAGCTGCCTGTGCCAGGCAGGTCAACCAGCAGGGGGTTCCGTGCCTCCTGTCACTACTGGTCAGTGAGCTGGGGGACTGAGGTACAGATTCTACTGCCAGTGCTCAATCCCCAAGGTTCACGGCCCAGCGCTCAATATAGCTGATCCTACCCCTTACTTCAGACATTGAGCCACACCCGAATCTGACCCTGGGCCCTGGGAGAGAAGAGTAACCTGCCAGTGGATGCTGACTGTGGGTGGAAGGCAGCTGGGAGGGACTAGCTAAGGGATGATTGAAGAGCCTGGCGAAGGCTGAAGGACAGCTGGGCCTCCAGAGCTTTTGACAGCCCCCACCTGTGAGGGACATATCAGGGGAAGCACCCTAAGTTGTTTCCTTACCCCTCTTCCCAGAGCCAGCAGTACAGGAGGGGGTCTGGCCTAAATTATGACCCACAGGGGGTGGTAGGCAGAGAATGGTCTGACTCCTCTGTAGAAGCCTGTTCTACACTATCCCCAGCTCAGAAGAGGGACCATTTCCCCCAACTCTCATGGTCGGCTCTAGACCCTAAAGATTCTCCTCTCCTTTGGGGGTCAGCCTCCTTTGTGGGGTGCCTGGCAGTGCTGGGTTCAGCTCTGCTTCACAATACCCACGTGCCACCCCCAGACAATGGACAAGGGCCAGCTGCAGAAACTGACTCACTCTCTGGGGGTTAGCCAAGCTAGTGGGGACTACCCCAGACCACTGTGGAGTCACAGCTAGAGTTGGGGAGATAAGATGGCCAAAGTCTTCCTGCAAAGGGAGGTTAGAGGAAAAAGTCTGCTAGGAGCTACTTCCAGGCTGTCGCCTCTCAAGTCCTCACAGCTGCTTATAGCCGTAGTGCTCACCTGGACAGAGGGGAGGAAAAAACTGGAACCCAAAACTGGAACCAGCAGGTGGAGGCTAAGTGTCCTGAGACCAGCCTAACCCAGGGCTTTTCTTACCTATGATATTTGTGAGGTCCAGTGGCGACCATAGATCCCAGTTTATGCCTGTTGTCCTGACGTCATGATTAATTGTGCCCTTTCACTCTCAAAAGTGTCCCAGCTTAGACAATTAATTATATGGCAACAGAAAAAGGGTGGACTTTGGGGCAGCAGCTCTTGTTGTCTGGCAGCTAATAAGTCTGGGGAATTCCAAGAAATCCTGCCTCTCTGCACAAATCCACAATAACCCAGCAGTCAGTCTGGGGATCAGGACAAGGGTGGGAGAGAGAAAGCTGTGCTTCACCTGGTTTCACTCAGGGACACTGAGTGGAGAGGCAGGGAAGGGAGAAAGAAAGGCACTAATGAAGATCCCTAGCCCCCACAATCTTCCAGCAGAGCCTCCAGGAATCCAGCACCGTCCTCATCTCTGCCAGCCCTGGCCACTCATCCGCATGAAGGAGGCCACAGGGGCTCTAGATTAGGAGTCAGGATGCTAGGGTCCTCACCTCCTGCCTGTCCATCCCCACTGCCAGCTCTGCCAGTGACCAAATCATTTTCTGACTTTGAGCCCCAATCCCATCCAAGACAGGGAGAAGACAGGTCAGGTCCACCCATCTCCCAGAGCAGCATCTTACCCCAGCTTCAGTCCTGTCCTCAGGGACAGAATTCCCTTGCCATCCCAGTGAATGGTCTATGTCCCACGCTTCAGACTCCCTGTCAGCAAGCTCTAGGTCTAATTTTATCTCCCAGGCAAAGTTCCTCATACACAAAAACAGCCTTGTTTTGATGCTCTTGTTGTCTGGCTTCCGGCTTGCTCCTTTCCTTTTCTCTTTGACCCCCTTCTGTCTCTGGCAGGGGCCAAAAAAGCCTGTGGAATGTCCTTCCCCACCCCCTCTCCTCCTCCCCTTCTCTTGGCTCCCACCCTCCAAGGACAGCTCAGCTGCAGCAGGATCACTTGTTTCCTCTGCAGTCCCCCACCTCCTCTGATTAGCTGCCCCATGACGCCTGCCCACTGCCTACCCTGGTGGGCACAGCATCAACCTCCCAATGTCTGCCTGCAGCACAAGCTCTTGATCCATTTGACCTCTCCTGTTAACCCCCAAGGACACCGTGGTCTGCCTGAGGACTATGAGCTGTCCCCAAGTGACCCAGCCCATCAGCACTTGAGGACAGCCACCCAGGATACCCATTCCCAAAGGATTTCAATCCCCCAATCTCTTTCTTTCACCTTAACTTTAAGCAGTGCTGGAGTAGGACGAGATGCCCTATAATCCCCCATATAGATTTTTGTGGGAATGGCCCCACACTTCTTCCCAAGTGTCCCTTTCTTTTTTTCCAGTGGGGAACCTCACTGTCTAGAAATCTGCTCCTAGATTTCCCTGCAGGGAGCCCCATCACAGAGGGGACTTTGCTCAAGAGACTCCCCTTACCCTAGGACACCTCACCTCCTACTCATAGGAACCTATATCAATTCCACCACTCCATCGCTTCCATAGCGTCAACAGGGGAGATGTTAGCACCTGGTCTCTGAGGAGCATGGGTTCAAGACAATGGGAGGCTGGCAGCCCAGAAACTTCAGAGCTGCCATTTAAGTGGGAGAGAAATTAAGAGGCCTGGTTAGAAGTGTGCACTCAACTAGGAGTCAGGGGGCCACTGTTTCTGTTGGAAGGAAACATCTTTTATGAGTCTGGATAGTATCTTAATTTCAGGACCTTAGTGGTCAGTTGTGAATGGAGGAGGGTGAGGGGACATGGCCATTTCTGCCTCATGACAGCCTTCCTCTGGCTAAATAGCTGTCAGGGTGGCTCCTGGGTTACAGATTTGCTTCCTCACCCGAGTATGCACCCTGGCCTCTGAAGCCAAGCTCCCTCATCTACCCAGGCCCACTGTTTCTGTTAGTTGGAAAATCCACCATTTGAAACACCACCAACTACTCTGCAGAAAGATGTGATGTTGGAGATGGGTTCCAGTCACCAAACAGCTTCTGAAAAATACACCAAAAAGTCCACAGTGGTTGTGGCAGATTCTTCCCTATGTGGGATTATTCTGGGCAAAATGAATAACTGAGGCCAGGTAGTCTGGCCTCAGTTCTGCTATCAAGCCTGAGACAAAAGCATCATATTTTTCTGCCCCTCATTTTATAGGCAGAGGGAGTAACGTGTCCAAGGTCTCACTGTGAAGCTGGGACATTGTCACCTCACTCTGTGCTTCCAGGTGGACTGCATGACAGCTTGGACTAGGTAACCGACTGTCTTGGTCTGCCCAGGACTGAGGGAATTTTTGAGACATGGCACCTTCAGTGCTAAAACCAGTGAAGTCCAGGGAAACCGTGATGAGCTGGTCAACTTAGCCTGTCCCCAAATTAGCAAGTCATGACCAGAGGTCACCAGCCTTCCATCCTGCTCTGGAATTGGCTGCCCATGGTAGCTGGAAATGGACAGGGTGCCATCTGACAGGGTAAGATGCTCGCTTCCTAAGAAGCTGTGCAGTGATGGTCAAACTGCTATAAAAAGCCTCCAGAGATGCCCTGTCCCATTTCAGCAGCTTTACTCCATTCTTTCAACAATTCTCTTTCTTCTGAACTACAAGCCTCTACCCAAAGCAAAATAAATGCCAGGTATGGTGGCTTGTGCCCATAGTCCCAACTACTAGGGAGGCTGAGGCAGGAGGATCACTTGAGCCCAGGAATTCAAGACTACAGTGAGCTATGGATTGTACCACTGCACTCCAGCCTGGGCAACAGAACACTTTTTTTAAAAAAGCTGGCTGGGCGTGGTGGCTCACACCTGGAATCCTAGCACTTTGGGAGGCCAAGGAGGGCAGATCATGAAGGTCAGGAGATCGAGACCATCCTGGCCAACATGGTGAAACCCCATCTCTACTAAACATACAACAATTAGTGGGACATAATGGCATGTGCCTGCAGTCCCAGATACTTGGGAGGCTGAGGCAGGAGAATTGCTTGAACCTGGGAGATGGAGTTTTCAGTGAGCTGAGATTGTGCCACTCCCTCCCAACAGAGGGAGACTCCGTCTCAAAAAGAAAAAACCAAAAACAAACAAAAAACAAGGGAGATAGCCCATGACCTAGGATTCTGTTAATATCCTCATGAATGTGGAAACTCCCTGAGTTCCTCAGAGGCTTTGGATTTCTCTTTGTAAAGGAAGCCAATCTGAGCAAAATGTCTGTGATTCAGAAGCCAACAGGAGGCTAATCATACCATCCCTCAAGGGACATATGGCATGTCACCCAAAAGACACTGGGGTCTGCCTTAAGTATCAGTGAGATGGCCTTCTCTGATTCCTGGCCTATTTTCCAGAGTTGGTTTCTTGCATAACTGATAAAGCAGGGAGTAAACTACCTTGCCCTATGACAGCCTGAGAATTCACTTTTAAGGATAAGTAGATCAGGTGTCTCAAGGACACAGGATCCTGGGGCTAGGCACCCTGTCTATCAAAGGCATTGCAGCCCCTCCCATCAGAACTGCATTATTTCCAGGAACTCCCCAGGGCTATGTGAGAAGGCAGCCCCCAGTGACCCATTAGGGCACCCTCAGGACCTTCCTGTTGAGCTTTTGCTAGTTCTGATCCCAAAAAAAACCATCAGGAATGCTTCCCTTAGTCCAGCACAACCTCCTCTGGGGAGACTCCAGCCCCTGATGTCCTAATCCAAGGATGAGAAGCATCTGTCCATCCTATTCCTTAGACAAAAGGGCCTTGAGGGGCCATTTGGGAAGGCATCGACACTTAAGAGAAAGAGATGAGCTGAATCAGGAAACCATCCCCAGCTGTTCACCCAGAGAGGTTTGTGAAGCTCAACAACAAACATGCTGCCTTCCACAAGCCAGGCGTCGTGGCCAGGCCACTAGAGAATTCCTGCCAGGAATGGAATCTGGAACAGACTCTGGTCAACCATTCCCAGAATCAGAGGAACCAGAGGCCTTGGACACCAGCACCACAGAGTCTCCATCCTGAGGCTGCATGGGGTCATGCAGGCTGGAGTCTAGCTTTCTCAAATGTTAGAGAGCACCTGGCTGTCCTCCATGCCACCCTACCTCCAGAGAGTCAGAGAAGACCAGCAGCCCAGCTGCCTGGGAGCCTTCTCTTCTCAGGCTTCTAGGAAGCAGCTCTGCTGCTGAACAGGGCTGGAGAGCTGTAATTATCGAGACAGGATAAGAGCTATTTTAGGAAGGAGCCATCCTGCTGCCAAGGCTTTTGACTTCCTAAACTAAAACAAGATGCACAGAAAAAGGGGGTGGGGGTGGGGGAGAACAGGGAGGAGCGTGCTCAGTCAAAAACATCAAATCTTGACCAAAGGGAAATATTAACCCCTTCCCAAAGGTACACATTTGCATCTAGGGGTGAGCAAAAGTCTAGCTAAGAACACTATCATCCCCTAGCTTTGGGAAGGAGGCGTAACTCTTCCTTCATCCCCTATCCATCTCCCTATGGACTCCCTCTCTCCTAAGACTCTCCAAGAGCACTACTCAGTCTGTTTCATCTATTTTGACATTTGAGCACAAACATTTCATACTGTTGTTTAAACGTTTCCTGTCTGTGTCTTATCTCCCCAACCACATGGCAAGTTTCTCAAGGCCAAGGAATGTGTGTACTGCAAAGCTTCAATGCTTCCCCTAAAAGTGCCTAGCAGAGTGCTAGGCCTCTGAATAAAAACTGTTTATGGAAGGGAGAGAGGGAGGAAGGAAAAAGAAAGGGAGGGACTCACTGTCTTGCATGGAGACAATCTCCGAAGGTAGCCGCTCCCACCTACAGCTGAGCTCATGGCATAAGGCTGGATAAAACCCATGGCAGTGGAAGGTGGCAGCCTTGTTTCTAGACACCTCCCCTTCAGCTGTTCCATTATCTGAGCTTAGGCCGACCCCCACTATGCACTCATTTGTTTTCTATGGCCAACTGTCCATCCTGAGTCAGCCTATGAATGGGACCCATTAGAGGCCATTGCTAGGCTTTGAATAATAGAGAAATATGGCAAGAGGAAGAATGGAAGTAGGAAGAGCTTTGACCATCTTGTCAAACATGGGCCAAGAATAGCCAAGGTACTCTTGGGAACAATGCAGTGAAATCAGGACCCTACCAAAAATCAGGACACAGGACTGCCAAGAGCAGACTCCACCTTGAGTTTTTCCAAGTTGAGGACCCAAATAGTGTGTAACCCAGAAAAGTGACACCTTTCTGGAATGCCCCAGGCTGAAAAGGGGAGAACCAGGTGGGGACTGATCCAGTGGCTACCTAGACGGCCTTCCCACAGAGCACTTGGCAAGAGTCATCATCTGCCAAAGTGTCTCTATTCTTTCTTTCTAGGACTGCAACTAGTTCATACAGTGCTTTTGTGCAAATACCCCTCTGGAAGGATGCAGACCCACAGGTGAACAGCTTGGCAAATGGAACATACGTTAGATTTCAGCCCCCCACTTTCCCCTCCACCAGGTGCGCTTGTGCAGTGAACAGTCTGCCCAACCATAGGGAGCAGCTCTGTCTTTCTCCATGCCCACTCCCATTATAGGACAGGAGAGGGATTTGGATAGTCGGGTGGGCACAGGAAGACTGGAAGTAACCTCCCAGGGGTGTTCTTACCTCCTCATCTGTCATAACAGAGAAGTAGAAGCCAGGCATTCCCAGGGGGGCAGCAAGTGGAATTCAGAGTGTGCCAATAGAAAAGGAAAAAGAGAAATTTACTAAAGATGCCCAGTGGACTTGGGCAAACCTGGCCCAATCCCTTCCTAGTGCAAGTGGCCCAAATAATAGCAGCTGGTCTTTACTGAAAGCTCACTGTTGCCAAGTACTGTGCTAAGAGCTTTAGAGGTAATACCTTGTAATAATCCTCACAATAACCCTAAGAGGGAGCCATTATTTTCATTAACAGATGGGGAAACTGAGGCTTAGAGAGGTAAAATAACTTACCCAAGGTCACAGTCAGCAAATAGTGGACCCAGGGCTCAAATCCAGTTAGTAACTCAAGTTTGTACTTAACTGTGCCCCTACTTTATAGAGCTTTCCTCCCTCTGAGGAGCAGGACTGCCCATCTCTGCTCTTTGCTGACCATCACTAGGAGGGTTCAATGCTGGTTGGGCTTGGATGGCATTCCCAGGGCTCTCTGCCCCCAGGAACTGCTTTATCCAGAGCCCTGGCCTCTGTCATGCTCAAGGGCTGGAGTGTATTTTGGGCCGTGATGTTCGCAACAAGAAGCCCCTGCTGCCAAGATTTACTCCATGAGGGTGGTCCCCACCCTCCCCTGCCCCCAGAGAGGCCAAGAGTATAAAGGGAGCAGAGGGTGACAAGGCTGGGGGACACTTCTCTCAAGCATTCTAGAGCTGCAAGATACACTTATGGCCTCAAGGAGAAGGCCCAGACATCTCTGAAGATCCTGCCTGGGCAGCATCAAGTAAGTACCCTAGGTGGTAGAGTGGGGTCATGAGGAGGGTTCTAAGGAACCAGAGAAACACTTGAGAAGAGTCCCCAGCCTGGATAAATATGAAGTCAACCCTGAGCAAACTGTGAAGCAGGCAGTATGCTTTGGTGTATTTTTTTTAATTACATGATAGGTGGCCAACTAAGCTGAAAGGCCACGAGGCTTAAATATTCTCCGTTCCTGAAGTGACTTCCTATTAAAAGGAGACTCTTGAAAATGGAAAACGGTGGCCAGGCACGGTGGCTCACGCCTGTAATCCCAGCACTATGGGAGGCTGAGGCGGACAGATCACCTGAGGTCAGGAGTTTGAGACTAGCCTGACCAACATGGAGAAACCCTGTCTCTACTAAAAATACATAATTAGGCAGGCATGGTGGTACATGCCTGTAATTCCACCTACTTGGGAGGCTGAGGCAGGAGAATTGCTTGAACCTAGAAGGTGGATGTTGCTGTGAGCTGCGATCACACCATTGCATTCCAGCATGGGCAACAAGAGCAAAACTCCATCTCAAAAAAGAAAAAGAAAAGGAAATGGAAAAGGTTCCAAGCACCAAAGAAATTACTCTAATGGTGGAATTTCAGTAAGATGAGAAGTTCCTCTGCTCCTTCAAGTCAAAATCCCAGCATTTATCTCCTAAATGACCCAGCTCTGTTGATACACAGATGCCACTCCTCACCTGTCCTCCCATCTCCCAAGCTCCCACAACAGGCCCACAGGAGGGAAAAGTACAGACCTTTTAGGAACCAGAAGACACGATTCTCCATTTCCTCAGAGACATCTGAAAGTAACAGAGGGATGGTTGCTCTTCTTCTCCCTGTGGGATGCAAATCCCACCCTCCACTGCTTGCAGTTCCCTTTCTAGCTCCACATTTCTCACCCAAAGGTGCCCTCAGCCCTTGGTCCTCTCCAAGAAGCTCCTCCAGCATAGGACTATATATTCCCACTCTCCCTATCCCTCTCTCTGTGGCCCTGTGAATGCCTTTCCCCTCCTGGAAGTCTAAATCCCAGCTCATCTGCACCCCACCCTGTCCACTTTGTTGCCAGCGTGTTTACCTGAGGCCCTTATTCTGTTTAACAGCCCTTACCAGCCCTCACCCCAGCTCAGTGCTTCATCTCCACTCAGGAAGCAGCTTTCAACCCTGCAAGCCCTCTTTATTACCTTCAATTGAAAAGGTAAGCAGTGTTGCCTAGAGGGGTCAATGCCTGTCACCCGGCCCAAGCATTGTCATCCATGTCATTAGCTTGGAGCACAGAGAAGCTGGCAGGGAAGGAATGGAACAATGGGCTCAAGTATAGGACTAGCTTTGGCACTGGCAGGAGAGCAGCAGCCTTTAGGCCCAGAATGAAGAGTTGGCCTTTCCTGCCCACCCCAACACCCCCATCTCACTAAACTGGGGCTGCGTCTGGGCAGTCTGCTTCTTCACATACCCAGGAAGAAAGCACCAAACCGTTGAATGGTTTTTTGCAGCCACGCTTGGGGGTCTGTGGCACTTCACTCACTGGTGCCCAACTTGGAGACTCCTTTGGTGATGGTGGTGGTGATGGGCTTGCCTTCTCTCTCTGGAACTTCACATCCTTACATAAAGGGCTAGAGTCTATTTTTGAACAGGACAATGAAAGATCTAGGGAAGAACACTTAGGCTCAAAATCAGGTGTTGTTGGCTGGCTTTCGGGTATTCCAACTTCAGGATTCAGCAAGGCCCACCATGAGGAGCCAGGCCCATACCTAGGTAAGGACCGAGGAGGCAAGGGCTGAAGGGTCAGTTCCAATTCTGCATGGATGGAGGACTTTTGCGAGAGTTCTGGATACCTGGGTGTGGGTCCTTTGGACATGTAGGTAGTTTCCAGGGGTTTTTGGGTTTGCTGTTTATAGGTGGGCTCTGGAGTGACAAACATGGATGATTTGTTGGAGTCCTCAGACACTGATAGAGCTGTCACATGGTGAGTTGGCTCTACTGACTCTACCTCTGGGGAGAGGGTGACCCTGCGGCCAACCTGGCTGTTTCCTCGAATTGGGGCCCTCACGTTGGATTCCACCTGTGATGATACTAAGACCTTTGTGGAGGGCTTGCTTTCGGGGTAGACAGAATAGTTGTGAAGAGACTCAGGGTCTACCCATGCAGAAACTTGGTGTACCCCATCAGAATCTCGAAGGACAGAGAGTTTGCATGATGAGTCCAAGTTCATATTTCTATACGAGGCCTTGGGTTCCAAAGGAATTGACCCATAAGGATCTGTTTCTGATTCTTCTACAGGGACCCTTCTCCTGGCTGTCTGATAGTCTGCAGAGACACTGCTGCTTCCGTGCTCTGGGAGAGAGCGACTCTTTGGAGATCTGATCTTAGTAGTAGTCATAATCCTTTGGATGGGTTCAGTTTGTACAGCTTCATCCTTTGGGTAAGACAAAATCCTGCGGGGAACTCTGACTCCTTGGGGGTTCTGGACCTTGGATGGTGGGTCATCTTGTAAGATTTGTGATTGCAAGTTATCCTTCTGGTCTTGAAAACTCAATCGACGAGAAGATTTGACATCTGGGATGGATGAGGCATGATGGCCGACCTTGTGCCCTGACTTGCTCTCACCACCTCTTTGTGTTGCTTCCTCTCTGGGTGGACTAACATTCCGTTGTCTGCTTGAAGCATGGGAAGCCAGTGTCTGAGTTCGCTGGCTCTTTGGATGAGGAGAGGAATGGTGGGATGATTCTGTTCTTGGTCCAGTCTCGGTTCCCTGAGGGGTGGGTACCGCATAGCATCCAGGCCCTAACTCCGGGGAGACAGATCGAGGATAGTCTGATGCCGAATGGAGAGTGGAGGGATGTGCAGCTTCTGATCTTCGGTGGGAAGGGTTCAGGGAGACTGCAGCACTTCGATGGCTTGAGGTAAGAATGTACCCATGTCCCCGCTGAGGGAATGTGTTAGTAGTAACCTCAGACCCTCTCTGTGCTGAAACCGATACCTTGGCCCCAGGTTTATTTGTCTTGACAGTTGTGCCTTTCAGAGTAGATCCCATATTTTACCGGCTGGCTTGTATTCAGGAGCCTAATGATGCCTGAATATTTATCCTGTTTTAAAGCTGCTCTTCTTGGGCATCTACAAAATTGGCTGTTGTTCTATGAGTGTCTCAAATAGTCTCCTTAGCTACTGCTCTGTAATGTGATGTCTGGTGATGTCATAAAGGAAGGAGCTTCCTTCCTATTACACATCCTAGCATAGAGCCACAATTCTTCACAGAATCCCAAAGCAGTACCTGAAGGGAAAATGTGGATTTGTCTTTGGAGTTACATCACCAAGCCTTTGGCAAGTTTTTAACAAAACTGGGATTTTCTTGTATATAGAGAAGGCTCCAGACCCTCCCTTGCTCTCCCCAGATTCTAGAAATTCTCAGGGACTCATCCAGAGAAGGAAACAGCCAGAAGATCCTATGAAGACAAGGTGAAACCAAACATGCTGTGTTCACCGCAGTTTTAATAAGGTATAAAGTTGCCCCACTTTTGTTTGAAACTGTACTGTGTACAAGTTAAAAAAAAAATACAGCTTCAGCCTTTTCCAGTCTCAAGGATGGTTTCATTGCTCCTGGGATAAAAATACAAGTTGCTCAAATAATAAATTCTCACATTCTTGGTCCAGGAGTGTCTAGTGTTTTATTATTAAAAGGGATTTGGGCTGGGTGCAGTGGCTCATGCCTATAATCCCAGTACTTTAGGAGGCTGAGGCGGGCAGCTCACCCGAGGTCAGGAGTTCAAGACCAGCCTGGCCGACATGGTGAAACACCATCTCTACTAAAAATACAAAAATTAGCCAGGTGTGGTGGCGTGCACCTGTAATTTCAGCTAGCCAGGAGGCTGAGGCAGGAGAATCACTGGAACCCAGGGGGTGGAGGCTGAAGTGAGCTGAGATTATGCCACTGCACTCCAGTCTGGGCAACAGAGCAAGACGCCATCTCAAAAGAAAAAAAGAGAAGGATTTGTAGTTAGTCATTGCTTTCTATCATAAATGACTAGTTGGGTACCTAGAGAAATTACCTGAGTTGTCTGGGCCTTGGTTTCTTCATCTGGAGACCACTGCCAGGCACATGGGTGTCACCTTACAAATGTTAATGTCCTTTCTTATGATCCTGTCAGCCATCCAATTAGCCAGACTCTGGTTCTCTTCTGAAGAGTAACTTTCCAATTTGGATGACCATTTTGGAGGAGACTCTGTCACCTCTCTCTCCCTTTCACATGTTCTTTCTCTCTTTTAGACATAGATTCTACTATATCCAACATTCTATCATGAACTCTGAAGGGTCATTGAGGTTATAGGATGGTCAGCTTCATTCTTCTATGCTCTACACTGACCATTCTCTTCTGTTAACCGTTTTTCCTCAAATGAACTATTAATTATGACATTCTAGTCCTGCTTCCCATTGATTTAGCTTTAAATATTTTATTTTTGTTGAGACAGAGTCTTGCCCTGTCACCCAGGCTGGAGTGCAGCAGCACGATCTTGGCTCACTGTAGCTACCTCCTGGGTTCAAGCAATTCTCATGCCTTAGCTTCCTGGGTAGCTGGGATTACAGGCACCCACCACCATGCCCTGCTAATTTTTATATTTTTAGTAGAGTTGGGACTTCGCCATGTTGGCAAGCTAGTCTCAAATTCCTGACCTCAAGTGATCCACCCACCTCAACCTCCTAAAGTGCTGGGATTACAGGCATAAACCACTGTGGTTGGCATATGTTTTAAGTTTTTTTGTTTTTTTTTTTTTTGTGACAAAGTCTCGTTCTGTCACCCAGGCTAGAGTGCAGTGGCAGGATCTTGGCCCACTGCAACCTACTCCTGGGTTCAAGGGATTCTCCTGCCTCAGCCTCATGTGCCACCACTCCCAGCTTATTTTTTTGTATTCTTAGTAGATGTGGGGTTTCATCATGTTGGTCAGGCTGGTCTCAAACTCCTGACCTCGTGATCCACCTGCCTCAGCCTCCTAAAGTACTGGGATTACAGGCAGGAGCCACCTCACTCAGCCAGTTTTAAGTATTTCTAAACCCCTTCTATTCACCAAAATGAAAACAGCTTTGGCTGGATGCAGTGGCTCAGCCTGTAATCCCAACACTTTGGGAGGCTGAGGTGGGCGGATCACTTGAGCTCAAGAGTTCAGACCAGCCTGGGCAACATGGTGAGACCCCATCTCAATAAAATAAACAAATAAATAATTTTTTTTTGAGATAGAGTCTCAAAAAGTGCAGTGGGGTGATCTCAGCTCACTGCAACTTCCGCCTCCCTGGTTGAAGTGATTCTCCTGCCTCAGCCTCCTGAGTAGCTGGGACTATAGGTATGCAGCACCATGCCCAGCTAATTTTTGTATTTTTAGTAGAGACAGGGTTTTACCATATTGGCCAGGCTGGTCTCAAACTCCTGGCCTCATGATCTGCCCACCTTGGCCTGCCAAAGTGCTGGGATTACAGGTATGAGCCACCATGTCTGGCCCAATAAATAAATATTTTTAAAAATTAGAAAATAGCTATATAAATAATTATTAAAAGTTGAAATCACCTAAGAGGACCCCTTTACTATTTTTTTTTTCATCGCAAATAGGACTTTATTTTTTAATTTTATTTTATTTTTTAAAATAAAGATGGGCTTTCACCGTGATAACCAGGCTGGTTCTGATCTCCCGACCTCAGGTGATCCACCCACCTCAGCCTCCCAAAGTGCTAGGATTACAGGCGTGAGCCACCACGCCCGGCCACAAATAAGACATTTTATTTGCCACTATTATAAGTCTGAATTTTAAACAGATTCTTGGACTGGTGGTTCATATCCATCAGCTCGTTCAACTTTAGCATCTGTCTCATCCCCAGTGGCTTTTCCAGAACTACTGCCTTCACCATGAAGCTCCATGAGTTTTCCCAATTCAAACTTGGGCTTCTTCAGCATTTTTACTTTTCTGACGAAGACATCATGGAGAGGATAAATGGATTGGCAAGCCTTTTCTATGTCTTTCCCAATGCTGTCTGGAATCAATTTACTGACCACTTCTTTCAAGTCATTTGTCTGCACCTCTCAGGTCATGATTTCCATCACCTTCTTCCGGATTTGGCGGACCTGTTGGTGCTGAGCATAAGAGGTCTTCTGTATCTGATTGTTGCGTTTTTTAGTAAAACCAACACTGAACAGATGAAGCAAGTAACCATCGGTAGTCTTGACATCAACATGAGCTTCAATCATTGTCTGCCATTTTTTGACCATGGAACACATTTTGTCATGGGTAAGATCCATGCCATGGAAGTTAGTCAGGCAGTTTTTGCCCTGAACATCTTCAGTAATCAGCTTGAATTTTCTAAATGCAACTTCATCATTCTGCAAATCAGCAAGACTAACTTCAAACACTCGACGCTTGAGGCCATCAGATGCAATTTTGGTTCCTTGGGTCCTGTTGACTAGCGTCTTTCCAATATTTCTTATATTGAACATAGTGGGTGCTTTCATATCATACCAATCTTTCTTAGAAAATGAATCAACTACTTTCTTCTTGGCTCCCTTTTTGCCGCCTTTCGTAAGGCACTTGTTCTTGCCAACTGCCATGGTGCTGCTCAGAGAGCCAAAAAGGCCCTTTACTATTTTAATAAGCATCTTTCCACATATCTTTCTACGCATTTACTATATACAGACATTTATTTATAAACTTACATAGAGTCCTATTATAAACTTTCTAGCATCCTAGTACTAGCATTATTCCATAACATGTTACGAATACCTTTATGTCAATAAATCTATATCTATGATATAATTTCTAATTAATCCACTTATGTTTGTTCCAGAATTTTTTAAACTAGTCCTTTACTGCTGGACATCAGGTTCTTTTGTTCTTGCAGGATGGAATGCAGTGTCTATTCCTAGGCCTGAGCACGGTGCACTGAAGCCTTGAAACTTCTGGGCTCAAATGATTCTCCTGCCTCAACCTACTGAGTAGCCCGCCACATCTGGGTTGTTTCCGACTTTTCAATATTATAAACAATATTGCAATAAACACACATTTCTATAAATATATCTTTGTGTATAGTCCAATTTTCTCCTAGGACAATAGTTCTAAATCCTGGCTGCACATTAGAATCACCTGGAGAGCTTTCAAAGCCCATGCTCCACCTCAGATAAAATGATTCAAATAATTTGGGGGTAAGGTCTGAGCATCAGTATTTTTTTTTTTAATGCTTCAGATGGTTCTAATGTGCAACCAGGGTGTGGATAAAGTTCTCTAAATCCTCTCTATTCAAAGTGTGGTCCGTGGACCAGTGTCATCAGCACTGCCTGGGAGCTTGTTAGAAATGCAGGATCTTGGGCCCTACCTTGGACCTACTCAATCAGAATCAGTATTTTAACAAAACCCCCAAGTGATTCATATGTACAATAAAATCTGTGACATACTGGTCTAAATGAAATTTCTGGGTCAAAAAGTAGTCACATTTAAAATACAAACTGACAAATATCCTCCAGAGAGGTAGTACCAATTTATACCCCCAACACAGTAAAGAAAGATGTCTGTTTCCCCATAATCTCAGCAACCTTAGATATTATCAGTACTTGTCCTCTGCAATCAGCTAGGTGAAAAACAACTATGTTTTAATTTTCATTTCTTTGATTACAAATTAAACTGAGTATCTTTTAATATGCTAATTGGCCATATGTACAGCTTCTTTTGCAAATTATTCTTTGCCTATTTTTCTATTAAGGTATTTGTCTTTTTCTTACAGGTTATTAGAACTCTTTGTATATTAGGGATATAAACCTTTTGTGTATCCACTATATTGCAATTATTTCCACGCTGTTTGTTGACTTTAACTTGTTCAGGCATTATTTGCAGTAAAGAAGTTTTACATTTTTATGTACTAAAATCCACCAATCTCTTCTCGCTTTGAAGTCATGGCTTAGCTTTTCCTCCTCCAAGATTTAAAAAATCATCACATATGGCCGGGTGAGGTGGCTCATACCTGTAATCCCAGTACTTTGGGAGGCCATGGTGGGCAGATCACTTGAGATCAGAAGTTTAAGACCAGCCTAGTCAACATGGTGAAACCCCATCTCTATTAAAAATACAAAAATTAGCTGGGCATGGTAGTGCACACCTGTAATCCCAGCTACTAGGGAGGCTGAGGCACGAGAATCACTTGAACCCAGGAGGCAGAAGTTACAGTGAGCCAAGATAGTGCCACGGCACTCCAGCCTGGGCAAAAGTGAAAGATCCTATCTAAAATATATGTATCTATATCCTTTGTACATATTTTCTTAAATTTATATATTTATTTTTTACATTTACATTTTTGTTTAATCAGACATTTATTTTTGGTATGAGGATTCAGCTTTTATATTTTTCCAAGTGGCTGGTCAGTAATCCCAAAGTCCTTTGTTAAATAATCTAATTTGATACACACTACCTCCTATTCTTTTTTTCTTTTTTCTTTCTTTCTTTTTTTTTTTTTTTTTTGAGCCTGAGTTTTGCTCTTGTGTCCCAGGCTGGAATGCAATGGCATGATCTCGGCTCACAGCAACCTCTGCCTCCCAGGTTCAAGCGATTCTCCTGTCTCAGCCTCCTGAGTAGCTGGGATTATAGGTGTCCACCACCACCTGACTAATTTTTGTATTTTTAGTAGAGATGGGGTTTCACCATGTTGGTCAGGCTGGTCTTGAACCCCTGACTTTAAGCGATCCACCTACGTCAGCCTCCCAAAGTGCTGGGATTACAGTGTGAGCCACCACCTAGCCCAGTATTTCATATTCTTAATTCCCAAACATTATTCTTTGGTATGTTTTTGGACTATTTGGGGATTTTTGTTTTTTTTGAGACAGGGTCTTGCTCTGTCACCCAGGCTGGAGTGTGATGGTGTGAACACAGCTCACTGTGGCCTCAATCTCCTGGGCTCAAGTGATCCTCCTACCTCAGCCTCCTGAGTAGCTGGGACCACAGGTGTGTGCCACCGCACCCAGCTAATTTTTAAATTTTCATAGAAATGGGGTCTCACTATGTTGCCCAGGCTAGAAACTCTCTATTATGTTCTAATTCTTTCCACTGTTATGCCAATGCCATAGTCTGTTTATTGTAGCTTCATACTATGCCTTAATATCTGGCAGGACAAGCCCCTCCTCCTTACTCTTCTTTTGTAGCATTGTTTCAACCATGCATTTATTGTTAAAAGTCCTTTAATTTTACTCCTCTATACAATTAGTAGCATTCAGTAGGAGAGTGGGTTTTACTTATTTAACTCCCAGAGAACCAACTTATTTCTGAGTTCTTGGGGGGCACATCACTATAACCCACTTCCGATACCAACACATATGAGCAAGTAACATTACTATTAGCATTCAGAAAAGAAGCCAAAAGTAATGTATTTGGAAAAGAGCAACTGAAATTTATTCCAAAAATTTCTTTCTTTTTTCGAGACAGAGTCTTACTCTGTTGCCTAGGCTAGAGTGCAGGGGTGTGATCTCAGCTTGCTACAACCTCCGCCTCCCGGGTTCAAGTGACTCTCCTGACTTAGCTTCCTGAGTAATGGGATACAGACGTGTGCCACCATGCCTGGTTAATTTTTGTATTTTTAGTAGAGATGGGGTTTCACCATGTTAGCCAGGCTGATCTTGAACTCCCGATCTCAGATGATCCACCTGTCTTGGCCTCCCAGAGTGCTGGAATTACAGGCCTGAACCCCCTGCCCAGCCTTGTTCTGAAAATTTCTAATAATCCAAACTTTCCAAGGGTACTCCAATAATTTCATTCAACAGTGAGCTGATGTTTATAAATCATCTATGTGTCTAGAACTTGCTACATATTCTCTCTGCTTTCTCATCTTGAAGGACTTAGTCAATTCTAAAAACTTGGCACAAAACCCACAGAATAAATATGGAGATTGGGATGAGGTTCTTAAAGGACATGTCATCACAGTGTCAGCCTGCTTTCTGTTGCTATAATAGAAACCTAAGACTGGGTAATTTCTTAAAAAGAAAAAAAAATGGCCAGGCGTGGTGGCTCAAGCCTGTAATCCCAGCACTTTGTTAAGAGTATACAACAGTCATAAAGGTATATGCACTTAACACCTGAGCACACAGATCTATAAGGCAAACATCACTGAAACTAAAGAGACAGATAGTCCCCAGTACAATAGTAGATGAGGACTCCATCACCTGACTTTCAGCATTGTAAAGATCATCTAAACAGAAAATCGGCAAAGAAACATCAAAATTAACCTGCACTGCAGACCATAGGGACCTAGCAGACACTTACAGAACATTTAATTAAAAAGCTGCAGAAGAACTCAGGATTGCAGCTCCCAGTGAATCTGCAGAGGGTGAGTGGATGCCGCATTTCCATACAGATTTTTATTGTCCACAGACTAGGAGATTCCCAGGTGTAAGAGCCCCACGGGCCGTGCGGCTGTTTGGGCCGAGGTCACAGCACAGCAACACTCCATACAAAAATACACTGGGTTGGTTGCCCTGTTAAACTAGCAATTGGAGATTTCGGAAGGCAGATTAGCACATTCATCTGATTAAATGAGACTTAAACAGAAAGCCAGCCCAGGAGATTCCCGGGCAGCAACGTGGTTTGAGCCAGTGCAGTGGGTCGCTGCACGGGAAATCACACAGATCCCGGTGCCCTTGCAGCAGGTGACTGAAACACCCGGGAGAGAGTCAACTGCTCAACTTTAAAAAAAAAAAAAAAGGCTCTGAGGCAGGGAGCCAGGTGATCAAGCTCGGGGGGTCCCACCCCCACAAAAACAAACAAAATCGCAATTGGAAATGCTCGGGGTTGAGAGTTTCACAGCAAGCACAGCTGAACCCAGGACAGTGCAGTTCAGTGGGGGAGGGGCGTCCGCCATTACTGAGGCACGTAACCCCTACAGAGGTACTCCCCCATTGCTGATGCAGCCTGCTGTTGCCGAGGCAACCCGCCATAACAGAGAGAGTCCACCACTACAGAGGCAGGCCATCATTGCCACTGCAGTTCTAACCACACCCATATAAACAGGACTACAGGGAATTATACATGGCAGCAGGGCGGAGCCCATGACAGCAGGGCAGAGCCCATGGCAGCAAGGTGGAGCCCACGGCAACAGGGCAGAGCCCACGGCAGCTCATCATAGCCACTACAAGCAGGCAGTGACTAGACTGCCTCCTCACTGGGCAGGAAAGTGCAATGAATACTCATAAATAAAGCCCTAACTCCCCAGGACAGAGCACCTGAGGAAAAAAAAGGGGGGGGCTTTATGAGTTCTGCTGCAGCAGACTGAAACGTACTTGTCTAGCAGCCCTGAATGAACAACGGAGCTCACAGCTCAGCACTAGAACTCCTATAAAGTACAGACTGTCCCCTCAAGCAGCTCCCTGACCCTCATATATCCAAAGAGTCACCTCACAAAGGACTGATCAGACTGACATTTGGCGGGCATCATTCAGGGACAAAGATAGCAGAAGAAGAACCTGGTAGCAACCCTCACAGTTCCGCAGCTGCTACAGGAGTTCCCCAGGCAAGCAGAGCCTGGAGTGGACCTTAACAGTCCTACAGCAATGAGGTCAGACAGTTAGAAGGAAAACTAAGAAACAGAAATACTTCATCATCAACAATCTGGACGTCCACTCAGAGACCCAATCAGAAAATCAGCAACCACTCAGACGACAGGTGGATAAATCCACAGAGATGGGAAGAAACCAGCAAAAAAAAAAGTGGTAAACACCCGAAATCAGAACACCTCACCTCCTACAAAGGACCAAAACTCCTCACCAGCAAGGGAACAAAGCTGGACGGAGAATGAGTGTGATGAAATGACGGAATCAGACTTCAGAAGGTGGGTAATGAGAAACTTCCGTGAGCTAAAAGAACATGTTCTAAATCAATGCAAAGAAACTAAGAACCTTAAAAGATTTGAAAAAAGATTTCAGGGAATGATAACAAGAATGGACAACTTAGAGAGGAATATGAGTGAATTGAAGGAGCTGAAAAACACAACATGAGAACTTTGTGAAGCATGCACAAGTTTCAACAGCCAAATTGACCAAGCA